CTCTTTCCTGTTCTTTCGTGCCTCGCTTCTTTACACGTAGAATTCCCCTTTTTATTTCTGTCCATGGATTTCCCATTGTTTTCTTAATAAATCGGATATCGAGTTGATGCAGAAACTCTGCTCGAACCTCTGTCTCTCGGTCGTTTCAATTTAACTCTGTAATGCATTTTTAAAATGCGTTTTTACCTATCCATCGTGCTTTCACGTTAATCGTTTACAAGGATCGAGAATAACAGAATCAATTGGAAGGTTTTCAACTTCTACAGTGACCTAATGGTTTTGCGGTGACGTCTCTGCACGCTTTTCATCCTTTAGTACATACAAAGTTAGTTATGTACGAAATTAATTCTCTATACGATACCACGATAAGCACCATAGATAGATAAGAACCGTCAACGAGGAGAAAAATTATCGAGTATTCTCTGGAAATTCGTGATATTACAGTTAACATTCGACACGTTCACCGTGGGTCGATTTTTATCGTTCACGTCGGAAGGATGTCCGGATGGTTACATGACCATTCGGGAAAAGGGTCGACCAGCGACCGGAGGTCAATGGTGCGGAAGCGCATGGGGGTACACCGTGTATTACAGTGAAACTCCTTCCATCAATTTGACTTTGTATTTACTCCGGCTAGCCGAACAGGTAAGCGCAAATTTTCTTCTTTGATAATCATCAGTCGTATGTCGTATGAGAGTAAATAATAAGCACGAAACATAAGCACCAAATAAAACTGCGATTTAGCGGCAAGTCACACACGAACCACTAGGGTCCGATAACAGCTAACATATGTACACAAAGGGAAAACCCCTTAAGCTTCTTACAGACCTTATAGATCTTCGTCCATGTGACATGTTTGTGATTCTTCGGGTTTCGATGATGTTATTAATACGTTCCACTTTGTCCGACGTTTCATTGAATATTTCAGCTCGCTTCTTCGTCTCCTTAGATAAGGAGGTATTAAAATTGATTAGATTTACAATTCCTCGTCCATTCGTCAACGAGATTCGTTTCATCTTATTATACGCAAAAACTAAGTTACTTATGACATTATCATTTCTAATCCATTGGAAAATTCTTTTATTCGATTCTTATAGTAAAGAAGCAGCTCTGTCCTAATTAAACGAACTGGAACGTGCAGGAAACGTCGGACCCACACGCAACGTCCTAATCAACGCGATTGAGACCCGAAAAATCAGAAATATGTGAAAGTTACAGATCTAAAGATCTTCGTGTACGTTTCTTCTTCTTCTTCGGATATACTTGTATATTGACTGTCAACAGGGTAGTGGCTATAATTTCGACTTCAAATTATCGTACAAGTTCCTGAGACGTAGCGAGGCGCACCTCAGATACGGGAACAGTAGTATGTCCACGTGGCGGGGAGAGCTGGTGAACGGAACGTACTGCGACCGTGTGCTTACCAAGTGCGACACGCGAGCCTGTCGACTTCAATCGCCGAATTACCCGGGCGTTTATCCCAGAAACGTCACTTGCTATTACCGGGTAGAGCAAAATCGGGCGCCACCCGGTCATCGGGCGTTGCTCGCTGTGAGTCAGCGGAACAGTCACAAGATACACATCAAAGACCAGGTCGTCAAGTACGATGGCAGCCAAAGGATATTAAGGTACCGCGTTATCGTGCGACGTTTCTTCTTACCGTTTGAATATTTTAACGCGTTGATTGTCACGCTGACTGTCGCTGTGCCCCTTTTTAAATTAGAAAATAATACATTTTTTAGGATAACTGAAAAGATATACATTTCATGGAGTAACAAATTGTCAACAATGTGAATGATTTAGATAATATTTTCAGAGAGGAGAGACGCAGATACGGTATAATATTTTATAAAAATTAAACGTTATGACGTACTATATTTCAATCTGTCGCGGTCCTCGCAAATACTGCCAGAATGCGAGCAATATAAAATTCTTATTATTTTACAAATTAAATTACCTCGTGACAGTAAGTCGATCGATACAGCTTTTCAATTACTTTGTAATACAAATTTTTGGACAGAGTTGAAAATATTCCATTTCTGAAAGATCGATTAATGAAACGTGTTGAATTATTTTGTAATATAGAGTTTGGGATCAATGCAACGTGGTGCAGGATTACTTGACGGTGTACGACGGGGGTTCAACCTCCGACAAGGTGCTGGTTAGACTTTGTGGAGGTGACGCGGTGCCAGACATAGTTAGTAGCCATAACACGATGCTTTTGGAGTTCCACACGTCTCCGTACGACAATCCCTTTCATCCCGTTCCTTTGTCGTTCTTGCCCGGCTTCGAGCTCGAGGTTCAGGTAATTCCCAACAGGCTCCTAATTATACTTTTGCCAGTAACGAAATCTTTACCTAGTCAATCACATCGATGGTTCAAAGGTGCTGTTCGTCGACGAGAAATCCCGGAGTTTTGTTAAGGAGAACAACAACTGCGACTTTTATATACCCAGCGACGAAAGCTCTTCGGGAGTCTTAGAAAATCCGAAACATTCTCTGCCACCGAACACGACTTGTCGCTACCACTTCCAGGGCAAGCCGAACGAGATCGTTTGGCTGTCTTTTGTCAAGTACTATGCTGCCAGCGCCGATGCCGCCGCGAGCATCGACGTCGCTTCCGATTGCAACGCGAAGCTGCTCATTTGGGACGGCGATCGCACGCTAAATAAATTAATTCCTATGCGTAAGGTGTGATACTCATCTTTCTTTTTGTAGTTAGCCTTCTTTAAGCTTTTACGGTTGGCATATTTTTCTGGTGGCAGTCTGATCAGGAAGCAATCAATATTTGTCCGACTTTAAAGAGAAATTTTAAATGCCGCCACTATGACAGCGTCGAATGGCAAGAGTTTAACTTTCACGTCGAAAGAATTTCTAAATTAATTTTCATTTACAGAATATCACTTTGATGGGTCAGTTTTGTAAGGACGATACCCCGCGTCTCTGCGATCATAGCCTGCTACGGAACGGAAGTCGTCATGCGAGGCCTTGTAGCCTCGCGGA